TGATTTGGCCTGTAAGCCAGGGTTAGGAAAGGTGTGTTCACATGTTGGTGCCTTACTCTGAGCTCTTCTGTCACCTGTAAACAAACGCAACTAAGAGCACAACAGGTTTCTGGAAGTTAAACTAAAAGATGTTTAAAGGAAGGCTGGAGAGCAAATGGCCACATTACTGTTTTTGCCCGCCAAATGGGTGGGTCCCAGTAGCTCTGCCATCATGTGAAAATAATGGATAATTATAACTTCCACCTTAAAATTATGTAGTATGTAGTCCATTAATAGACATAGATTAATTAATTAATTAATGGCAGGACTTCTTTGAGGAGTCTTGAAGGGATGGGGTCTAAAAGTCACATTGATGGTTCGGAGGAAGTCATTACTGAAGCTAACTCAGAAAGATCAATTAAAGAGAAAGAGCCAAAGGAAATATTAATAGTTTTGAAGGTAGCTGTACATAATGTTTCATCTGTGAGATGGTTATGAGTATCGTTTTTGGCAAGAAGAAGAAGAATGTCCTTGGTTTGAAGCCAGTGTGGGCCTTTTTGTTTGGAGTTTGCATATTCTGCCCAATTCTACGTAGGTTCTCTCTAGGTATGCTGGGATATTCATACACACCAAAGACATGCTTGTGAATGTGAGTGTGAATGGTTGTCTGTCTCTATGTGTCTGGGATAGGCTCCAGCTCACATTATGGCCCATCCCCATGACGTTGAAGTGGACAAGTGGAAGAAATTGCCTGGATGGATATCATATAAAACATTTCTGTGACCACCACCAGAACTTATTATTCCAGGTTGGTTTTTGGATGTTTTGACCTTCAGTCTTTATCGCTTCCAAGCAGTACACATGTTGTGTGCCCATCTACAGGTGTACAATGTACAGCCCTGGCATTCTGTTTGATTTATTGAAGATTGTATTGCCTGATATGCTCATGTCATATTTTGCAAAGGGGAAGAGTCTCACTTCTAACAAAATCACACATACATGTTGCATCCAAGTAAAGTGAACAAGCTTTTTAGTTTTTTAACAAAAATCTCCAAATTTTGAGTAACATTTGAGCAACACATCAAGACATCATACAGAACAACACAGCCAAATTCCGCTTCCTGGGTACCACCATCACCCAGGACCTGAAGTGGGAGCCCACCATCACCTCCATCATCAAGAAAGCCCAGCAGAGGATGTACTTCCTGAGGCAGCTGAAGAAATTCAACCTGCCAACACGGACAATGATGCAATTCTACACTGCAATCATCGAGTCCATCCTCACCTCCTCCATCACCGTGTGGTACGCTGGAGCCACTATCAGGGACACACAGAGACTGCAGCGTGTTGTGCGCTCTGCTGAAAAGGTGATTGGCTGCAGACTCCCATCTCTGCAGGACCTGTACACCTCCAGGACACTGGGGCGTGCAGCTCGGATCTCAGCTGACCCTTCTCACCCTGGACACAGTCTGTTTGACCTGCTCCCCTCAGGCAGGAGGCTCCGGTCCATTCGCACCAGAACCTCTCGCCATAAGAACAGTTTCTTCCCCTCTGCTGTTGGACACATGAACAATAACCACATGACTGTCCCCGCCACTAACACATGACCCTACGCTGTGTTCACTGCATCATTCCATGTTTGGCACTGATCACCACCTGCACTCATGTATATATCTTTCTACGCAGCACTTTTAATTCTTATTCTCATGTATATCTCATGCACATATCTTTCTACATAGCACTTTTAATTCTTATTCCTACTTTTATTTTTTTTCATGTCTATTTAACCGCAATTTATGACAGTATGTTTGCACTGAAGCACCGCAGCAATTTCCTAATGTTGTAAACCTGCTCAACATTTGGCAATAAACCCCCTTCTGATTCTGATTCTGATTCTGAAGTGGAATAAGATTCAAGATACTGTTCTTGATGCATGAAACAGGCCTGTTTCATGCATTTATTTTTTAAAATAATTCAGTTGAAGCATGGTTGAAAAGCTTTTGTCAGATGAAAGTTATTTCTGTGACCATTGTGGGTTTTTCTTTCATTGACCGAAGGGTACCAACAATTTTGTTCACGTCTGTATACATAGTTAGAATACATATACATAGATGTTGCCCACCTGTGGTAAACAGGAAGCTGTGGGTGGAAATATTACTGTATCTATGTACCGCATGTATTATATTCTGTCTGCAGAGTGTGCTGCCGGCAGGAAATGAGACATAGTCAGACGTGGGAACGGTGGGCGAAGCAAGCAGTCTAGCTTTTAAAAATTCTGTTTCTGTTTCTGGCTCATTCTGTGTGATGTGCACTTTCTTTTCTAGATAGATTTAAATAAACAAAATTCAAAGCACTGTGTTTTAGTGTTAGTTAAGCTGGATCATTTTAACATTTTTAACTGTACAGAGTGGAGAGAACTGACTTTAAAATAGTTGTAAATGTGTATTGCATGATCAGTGGAGGAATAAGAAAAACTGTATGTAAATGAATACTCACAAATCCATGTTCCACTTCACACAAACATGAAACTATTTGGACACAAATGTGCACAACTTGAATAAATTTTGATTCATACACAGATTTAGAAAGCCACAACAACATGAAACATGACTATTACTCAGGTGAGCTTTTCAACAGTAATGTGGAAATGGCAGGTGCTCTATCAGTCATACACACCAACAGTAGAAAGACGCAGAAACTGCACAAAACAGGAATATTTATATCAGTTCATAGAGTTTAATGTTTTTTCTGTATCTGAGACTAATAACAAAGACTATGATGTGACTAGTTTAAAGTTAAAAGGACCAATAGAAATGGAGAAGCAGTTTCCCTGTCTGTTGGTGGAAAGCACAGAAAACGTGTTTTTAACTGTAGAAACTGTTGATGAGAAAGATCAAGTATATCTTTTTAGTTGTGTATCTAGAACGCCAGGTAGCTTCACTGATCCACTCAGTAACAAATTGATTGGTATGTTTGACAAAGCAAATAAAAACAAGGTGAAAACAATGTGTAGTAATTTTTATACTGACTTGGTAAATCCACACAAAGGGACCAATGATTTTATTAATACAGTGTACAGGAAAGCCCTTTTCTGTAGTTCTTAAACCAAACTGATTAACATCTGATTTGGCTACATGTAGAGTTCAATATAATCATGTTCACAGGAAGTAGTGAACATGATTAACTGAGACAGAGAAATGAATGTATTTGGTGATTAGACTCTGATGACCCATTGTGGCAGAACAGAATCCTGGTGGTGATTTAGGACAGGACCAACCCAGAGTCTAGGCGCCGGTGGTGATGAAGATGAAGACTGAGGCTTGGATGGAGGTCTGACTGAGGAGTCTGTGATGTGGAGATGGGGAGAAGGTGAGTGGCAAAAATGAGAGTTTGAAAATGAGGATGACGGAGAGCACAGATTTAAACTATGCAACATGGAGGCTGATTGGCCAAAGAAGGCAGGAAAGAAAATGATTGGACTAGAGTAATGATTGACAGCATGGAAAAGTGATAGCAGTGTAAAGAACAGAAAAGCAGCCAAACACTCAGGAAAGCAGGCAGATGACCGATTACAGACATTCACTACTGAACTTGTGCATAAGCTTCATAAAACACAGAGAGCAAAATAATAGCGGCTCTACTTATAAATGAACTTTTCCAAGTCCTTGTTCTTTTCCTGGTTCTTTTCCTTAGTATCTTGACACATTAGCTCTTAGTTGCAGGTTCTGTCTGTATTGCATTTTTTGAGTTATTTGATTAGACCCTGTGTTAGGTCTAAACTTATAGACCTCGCTGACTCAGAGACTTATTCCCATGAACAAAGCAAGACAGAACAGCGATCGATCGGTTTTAACGTGCACAAGGGAAGCCTGGTCGGATTTTCAGAGCAGCACTCTGCCCTCGACCTCAAACGGCTCTGACCTTGGCTCCCTCTGCAGCCTTTTTGTTAAATACAGTTATAGTTTACACAAGCACCACCCATCGAAAAAACCCATGTGGCGTGTCAGGCACTGTGTGTGTGCAAGCATGTGTGTGCGTGGGTGTGTATGCACGTGTGAGTGTCTCTCTGTGTGCGTGACTTCCTGGTTACAACAGTATTAACTACATTCTTAACATGACTACAGCAAGAAAACTGTAGTTTTTCACCCAATCTACTTATTCATAAACGTGACAATTTGCAGTGTTTTGAAAGGAGCATTGCAAAAAAAATTGGCATTTAAAGGAAGATACAAACAATCAATTGCTACAGCAAGATAACTACATACTCGCCTCTGTCAGTGCGCCCCAGGGTGGCTGTGGCTACAATGTAGCTGCCATCACCAGTGTGTGAATGGGTGAATGACTGAATGTAGTGTGAAGCGCTTTGGGGTCCTTAGGGACTAGTAAAGCGCTATAGAAATACAAGCCATTTACCATTCTTGGTCATAAAAAAAGTGTCATCTCACCCCACCCCTACATACAGTTTAACCCCTCTAACGGTCCACCGTACACAAACACAGGTGAGGCCATAAACGGCAGGACGTTTACTAAACAAGGAAAAAGAAACCTCACATAGGATGTGCCTGCAATTAAACACTCTAACCTTCCCCACCACTCAACAGGCCGGGGAGGTGGATAGGAACAAAAGAAGGTCTTTGATCATACAGTTTGAAACAAGATCCACAGTTGTAAGCGCAAAAATGACAACATGTAACAATTCCCCCTAACACCCTGTTGTTTCTATCTAATCCCTGGTAATTCGGTTTGTTGTCCTAACACCTGGCAGTGTTCCTCTGTGTAAGCGTTCTGTTTTTTTTAACTTGCTGTTTTAATTTATTTGTTTCCCGTGCCTTAGTGTTCTGTGATAGTTTGATTCAGCTGTGTCTTGTTTTCCAGCCGTAATGACTTCCCTGATTCTGATTGGAGTTGTTATTTTTTGTTCGTTTAGGGAGTGTAAGTTCTGATTGGGCAGGCAGCTTACAGCCCACCTACAAAGTGTCCCACTCTCTCACCCACCAACATGAGAGACACAAACAGACAAAGGAAGAAGCAGTGCTGTCTGTCCGAGCGTGCAGAGGTGTTCAGCTGCGAACTCAAAGCAAAGCAAACAGGTAACACACACAAACACCTGCTGCTGCAAAGGAATCACTCGAACTATAACCTGCTTAAACTTGTACAGATCAGTCAGTATGCTGTTCATGTCTGACCTACACCAACCTTGCACTGGGATGACACTCTGACACTTCTTTGTCTAATTTACATTTAACATTATCTGATTGAAGTTTAGTCTTCATTAACTTTAATACATGTAAGAGAGCTGAAGACAAACTGTTAAAAGTGTCAAACCAATTTTTAGGAGCAGATATGCTACGTTTTTTAAACCAGTGCAAAACTTTTGTTTGGCGTTTAGAAGCTAATGTCACGATTTACTAAAAAGTAAAGTATCAGTTTTGTGACTGAAAGGTGTGGGCACGGCTGTTCTTACAACTCTCCTCACTGCACTCTGACACCCGCCTGCATGATCGGTGCACTCTGCTACTTACAGGCTTAGCTTTACACCCCTGAAGGCTACTGTGTATTAAAGCTTAAGCTGTTTTTGATCAGTTTTGTGTACTTTTATGGAATAACTGACAAATGAGTGGCACCATCTAAGTAGGGTAAAATAATCCACTTCAGCAACAAAGAGATTCTTAAATTTACATGTAAACTGGAAGTTGAAACATTTAGTAAAGACTTTCTGTTGGTACTGATAACCTGTGATGCCACACATCAAGGTCTGGGTTTGAATGTTCTCTTTATGTGAGGAGTTTAGTGAGATGGAAGTGATGTCCTTTGTGCTTTTAACCAAACTGAACACCAAGAGAATTTTTTTCAATCAGTCAAAAAGACACCGTTCATCTCTCTTTGAGAAGTCAGGTAAAAACATACTTCTGGTAAGCTTTAGATCTCTAAAGATCTCTGCCAAAATTCTGTATTCACAAAACACAGATTTTGTCTTTTAAATGTTGACCTGTACTTTATTCATCCAGAATGTTTTACAAACGGATGTCAGTGTAACTTTACTCTTACTGTATTGTTGTTGTACTTTCTCTCTTCTTCCTATCTCATTAAATTTGAGGGATTCCAGTTGTGTCGTTTGTCAGCTCTTCTTCCAAAGTTTTAGGTCTGTTTAGTTTATTTCCACTGATTCAACCAAAGTGTTGAATAACTGTACTAACTGGCTTTTCACAAATAAAAGCAAAAAAAGAAAAAAGTTTAAGGGTGCCATAAAGTTTTTATGACTTTTTAAATTATGTTTGTACAAAAAGGAGTTCTGTGTCATTCGATGTTTCCCCCTGCTTGTCTTGTTAATTCATGTTTCCCCAGTCTGTCATGTCTCTCTCTCACCCTCGCTCCCTCTCATCTGCTTCTTGTGCACTTGACATGTTTCTCAGTTTCCTGTTTTATTGTGAAAGTCTTGTGTTTGCATGTTCGGTGTGCTTCCCCAGTGGCGTCATGCTAATTCGTGTCAGCTGTGTTCCCCGTGTGTTCTCACTTCCCTCGTTATCCTTTTGTGCATTTATGCCAGCATCTCTCTCATACCTTACTGTCTGCCAGCCTGCATGCATGTCTAGTTGTTTTTTTGTTGTATTCTCAGTTTAGTTAATGTTGGTTTTCCTTGTGTTCGCTGTTTTTTGAGTTTACTTTTTACTTGCTTGTCGAGTCTGGATTTGTGTCCCATCCTTCCTGCCGCTCACAGTTTATGATATTCTGATGTCAGAGATGAGTTTTCCAACAGTGTCCATCACAAATGTAATATGGTAATAATAAATGTTATTTTGAACAAAAGATTTGTGAACAACTCAAAGAAATGTGTAATTTCTGAACAAAAATCAAAATGATCACACTAATGCTATCTAAATAATTTCTGTATTGCCATCTGAGCAAACCATCTTAATCTGCAGAGATCCGAGGACAAAGTACAGAGAAAGTATTGAGTATTCGCTGTTTGTCCAAAACTATAATGCATGCCCTCTGTCTTTGGAAATATGTGTTTCTAAAAGCAGGTTTAGAACAAGAAAGACTAAAATCTTTTTCTTTCTTTCCTCCAGTTCAATCAGTCTGTGGGATTTTCAGCAGAGTGACATTATGGCAGCAGCAGCAGCACCGGGTGAGTCCAGCCAGACTTCACTGGTCTAGATAACACACTGTTTAAACACACTGTAGCCTGGTGAGATCAGATTCCGTGTTATACACTGTGAACTGACAGAAATGTGAAAACTGGTTGAAACTTTTTGGTTTTTGATCATTTCAAGACAAAGCAATGGTTCCAGTGTTGGAAATAAAAATATGAAAATAAAATAATTCTCTGTCTCAATAATTCTTATTGCTCACTTTTAAAATCATAAATAACACCGCACCCAGCTATGTTACGGATCTCCTCAGCTTTTATATCCCTGGGAGAGCGCTTAGATCAGCAGGCCAAATGCTCCTGATGCGACCTAGATCTCAGCTCAAGACCAGAGGTGACCGAGCATTCAACGCTGTCGCACCCTGCTTCTGGAATAACCTCCCTCTAGCTATTCGGGCGTCTGATTCAATTCAGCCTTTTAAATCTCGATTAAAAACTTATTTGTTTAGCCTTGCTTTCCCCGCCTCCTAGAGCCCACATTTTTAGTGTACTGGAACTTATCTTTATCACTTTGTTAATGTTTATAATGTTTTAACCTTCAGCCTTTCGGGTTGTGCCTACTATGCCTGGTGTATTATTGGTTAGTTATGTCACCCGCCTGTTAGTATATTTTATTAGTATTTTGTATTTTGTACTTTATATTTGTATTTATTATTGCTCCTAACTCATTCTGTGAAGCACTTTGGCATACCTGTGGTTTCTTAAATGTGCTATATAAATAAAATTGTATTGTTAAAGGAAGAACAATTGTTTTTGTTTTGTTTTTTCATTTTGTATTCAATAATTACTTTCTTAACAAAGGAGCAAATGTTCATGCCATAAATCAGCCCTGAATGAAAAAATTTCTCATTACAAGTTTTATTTGGTTAAAGTGAAACATCACATTTAGTAAAAATTGTCACTGCAAGAACAGTCAAAAAATCCTTGGAAGACACACAACAGAAAAATGAAAACAATAAACAAAATGTTGAATGCTGTATCTGTGCCTATTAAATGCATGTCCTTTATCTCCTCTACCTGCACTTAGTGCCATCTTGTCCTTTACAGAACGTGACATCACTGCTAATAGACTTATGTTAGTTTAATAAAACCAAAAACGCTGTGGAAAACAAGGACAAAAATTAAAAATCAGGCTAAGAGGTCCATTTTGGGCTGCATTACAAAGAAAAACAACTGAAAACCACTTTTACATGGAGTACGGTTTCACTCAGCTGCTATATATCCAAATGTGGTGAGAGGAATAAAGTAGATTCTCACGTGTACATTTTTTAACTCTAGTTATCTCAGGACTGCAGCAGAAGGTATTTTCTGTGGGATATAAGATGTAATGCACTTTAATCACATCTAAATTATTTGATTTTACAATCCACTATGGTGGTACATAGAGGCAAAATACTCAGAATTTGTCATCATCCAGAAACTAATGAACTCGGTCCTTATGAAACATGGTCAAAAACTTAAAATGTCATATATGAGTAGGTACTTATTACCTTTTAATCCAGTGACAGATCTTTAAGTTTTTGCTTAGTACATTCAGTCAATTGTGTCGATTATTCTTATTTACTATTACAGATTTAAGATGCAGCACCTTGATGTCTCGATACATTACTGGATAAATATAAAATCAAGCAATTAAACGCTTGAAATTTAAAACACATTTAAATTTATATAATCTAAATGATTTATATATAAACATATAAATCCTTTCATTTGAGTTAAACGTGTCACTTGCTGACAGATTTTAAAAAGACTTTAAAATTAAAAATGTCAACAAAAATTTGTGTAACTTATTGTTTCCTATTGTTTTAAGTATCGTTAGAGTAGCATAACTCCTGTAGAAATTGCTAACTTTAAATCTTTACAGCACAAACTTAACCAAACTCCAATGCTTTTTCAACATAAACTTTGGTAAATGGCCTGTGTTTGTATTGCACTTTACTTGGTTCCTAAGGACCCCAAAGCGCTTTACACATCCAGTCATCCACACATTCACACACACATTCACACACTGGTGATGGCAGCTACATTGTAGCCACAGCCACCCTGGGGCGCACGGACAGAGGCGAGGCTGCCCGACACTGGCGCCACCGGGCCCTCTGACCACCACCAGTAGGCAACGGGTGAAGTGTCTTGCCCAAGGACTCAACGACCGAGACTGTCGGAGCCGGGGCTCGAACTGACAACCTTCCGATTACAAGACGAACTGCTAACTCTTGAGCCACTATCACCCCGTCTTTGAAAACTACTTGTTTCAAATTTTTCAGAAGGAATCCGGGGGAATGTTGTGTCATTTAAAAAGATTTAATTTGCTGGGCAGTTGAAATTACAAGTGTGACATAGCACTATGGACCGTGAATATGATACAGCATACTGCCTCGCACCAAGGTTGGCCCTGAAATGGCTGCACAGGTTTTATACAGTAACAACAACAAATGATTATGGCTATCTTCTTCAAACACCCATCCTGATGGCTTCTGCAAAATCCTCCCCCGTGTCCGTTCGGCTCCTCGACCTCCTATATGCTCCTTTCCTGGAATTGGAAAGACAAAACAAAAACGCACCCTACGTAGCCTTGGCTAGCTGCTGATTCTAAGGCTCCACTCAGGACATCTTTTTCGGACTCCCTGTCCAGAGAATATCCTGATACTTATTATCAATTGTGATTTGTGTAAGCATGTTGCATATCTTTTTGCACTTCTACGTCATCCTGCAATATATCAACTCAGACAATCAATGAATGAAGCTCTGAACCTTCAAAAGACGGAATGCCAACTCATATAAGCGCAATTGTAGTGTGTATAAAAGATAATTAAAAAAGCTTTGCTTAATCATTTAATAAAAATATAATTTTCAACCCTAACAGAGTATTCTGTTCATGCTCAGCGTAGCAGAACTGAATGGAAATGATGGCAAGTGTTAGGCTGCTTAAAGTTGCAGAGTGGGGTCAGCAGATGCTGAGGCACATGCAGAGGCTGCCAACTTTCTGCAGAGTCGAGAGAGAGAAGGGAAGACATGGCAAATGGCCATGGGTCAGTTTTAAACCTGGGTTGGCCGCTCTCATGCCTCTAGCCCCTCCTCATCTCAGATCTAAACAGGCGCCAGCAGTGAAAGCTCTTAATGCTTCAGCGTACCAAGACATTTTGGAGAACTTCATGCTCCCAATTCAGTTGGAACAGTTCGTGGACGTCACCTTCCTGTTCCAACATGATTGCACACCAGTTCATAAAGTAAGGTCCTTAAAGACATGTATGAGCCAGTGTGGTGTGGAAGAACTTGACTGGCCTTCACAGAGTCCAGACCTCAAACTGACAGAACACCTCTGGGATGAATTAGAGTGGAGACTCTGAGCCAGGCAGGAGGAAATAACAAACAGGAGAAAAATATACAACACATACAATCAAGAGGAAATACACTACCAGTCAAAGGTTTTGGACACACATTCTTCAAATAACCACCCTTTGCTTTGATTCCTGCTTTGCACACTCTTGGCGTTCTCTCCATGAGCTTCATGAGGTCATCACCTGAAATGGTTTTCCAACAGTCTTGAAGGAGTTCCCAGAGATGCTGAGCACTTGTTGGCCCTTTGGTTTTCACTCTGCGGGACATCTTATCCCATACCTTCTCCAAGATGGTGCCGTGTATGGATGCCCTGGTGCTTCAGTGCGTTACTTCTGTCTTGTTTTTGTGCATAACTTCTGTGTCTGGGCACTCCTCTGGATATTCTTACACCAGAGAAGAGCTTCTTAACTACAGGACTACAACACCTGTGGATTTACTTCCAATATTTGTCGCATCTGCGGCAGATTTACTGCAGACTCTGATCAGGAAAGTGGATCTGAGGAGACGTGGACTGCGAACTGCTCTTCCTGGGATCTTCCTTTCTAATGTACGCTCACTCAGGAATAAGATAGACGAACTGGCCCTGATGAGAAGCATGAACAGAGACGTTGCCTCCTCCTGTGTGTTATGTTTTACGGAGTCGTGGCTCAGTGAGAACATCCCAGACTGCGCGCTCAAGCTGGAGGGCTTTCATCTGCTGCGCGCGGACCGGCAGGCCTCTCTCTCTGGTAAGACCAAAGGTGGAGGTGTCTGCTTCTACATTAATAGTGGCTGGTGCACAGATGTAACAGTGATTTCTCAGCACTGCTCTTCCTCTCTGGAATATCTTTTTATTCACTGCAAACCGTTTTATTCTCCGCGGGAGTTTGCTTCATTCATCCTGGCCGCTGTTTACATCCCGCCAGATGCGGATGCGCAAGCAGCTCAGTGCGCACTCGCGGAGCAGATACTGCACATGGAGCGGACATACCCGGACTCTCTCATCATTGCTCTTGGGGACTTTAACAAAGCCAATCTGAGCCATGAGCTTCCCAAATACAAGCAGTATATTAAATGCCCGACCAGAGAGGAGAGGATATTAGACCACTGCTACAGCACGATCAGCGGGGCCTATCGTGCGGTGCCGCGCGCTTCACTCGGACTTTCTGACCACGTCATGATCCACCTAATCCCCGCGTACAGACAGAGGCTGAAGCTCTCCAACCTGTCGTGAGGACCAAAAAACTGTGGAGCAACGAGGCTGTGGAGGAGCTTCGCACGTGTTTGGAGACCACAGACTGGGACACAATGAAGGCTGCTTCTAACAGCTTGGACGAGTTTACGGACACTGTCACCTCCTATATCCACTTCTGTGAGGACAGCATTGTGCCATCACGCACCAGGGTGAGTTACAACAATGACAAACCCCGGTTTACTCCTAAACTCAAAAAGCTGTGGCTGGAAAAGAGAAAGGCGTTCAGAAGCGGAGACAGGGACTGCTACAGAGAGGCCAAGTACAGGTTCACTAAAGAAGTGGACGTTGCTAAACATCAGCACTCTGAGAAGATGCAGCAGCAGATCTCAGAGAATGACTCGGCCTCTGTGTGGAAAGGTTTTAGGAATATCACCAACTACAAGCCTAAAACCCCCCACTCCACTGATGACTTGCTCTTGGCCAACACCCTTAACAACTTCTACTGCCGTTTAGACGAGCCATCAGGCAGCCTTCACACCTCCAACGGCCCCAACAATAGAGGCACTTTGGACACTCATTCCCCCACCTCTCCCCCCTACATAGAGCTATCACCACCTTCAAACTGTTCACCTGCAACACCCCCCTCCTCACCCCACACAAAAGAGGATTTCACACCACCTCCTCCCACCACAACTCTTCATATTCATGAAGCAGGTGTGAGGAAGCAGTTTAAGAGTCTGAATGCTCGGAAAGCTCCCGGCCCAGATGGTGTGTCTCCTGCCACCCTCAGACACTGTGCAAACGAGCTGGTCCCAGTGTTTTCTGGCATCTTCAACTCCTCACTGCAGGCATGTCATGTGCCTGCCTGCTTCAAGTCCTCTACCATAATCCCTGTCCCCAAGAAACCTAGGATCACTGGACTAAATGACTACAGACCCGTGGCTCTGACATCTGTGGTCATGAAGTCATTTGAGCGCCTAGTTCTCTCCCATCTCAAGACCCTCACGGCCCCCCTCCTGGACCCCCTGCAGTTTGCATATAGAGCCAACAGGTCTGTAGACGACGCCATCAACATGGCCCTACACTTCATCCTGCAGCATCTGGACTCCCCAGGAACCTACGCCAGGATCCTGTTTGTGGACTTCAGCTCTGCCTTCAACACCATCCTTCCAGACCATCTCCGAGGCAAGCTTTCCCAGATGAATGTGCCTGATCCCATCTGCCGGTGGATCACTGACTTCCTGATGGACAGGAAGCAGCATGTGAGGCTGGGAAAGAATGTCTCGGACTCCCGGACCATCAGCACCGGCTCCCCTCAGGGCTGTGTTCTTTCTCCTCTGCTCTTCTCCCTGTACACCAACTGCTGCACCTCCACCCACCAGTCTGTCAAGCTAATCAAGTTTGCAGATGACACCACCGTTATTGGACTCATCTCGGACGGGGACGAGTCTGCCTACAGGAGGGAGGTTGAACGTCTGGTGTCCTGGTGCAGCCACAACAACCTGGTGCTGAATGCCCAGAAGACAGTGGAGATTATTGTGGACTTCAGGAAGCACACAGCCCCACTCCCCCCCATCATCCTGACTGACACCCCCATCACCTCTGTGGACTCATTCTGCTTCCTGGGTACCACCATCACCCAGGACCTGAAGTGGGAGCCCACCATCACCTCCGTCATCAAGAAAGCCCAGCAGAGGATGTACTTCCTGAGGCAGCTGAAGAAATTCAACCTGCCAACACGGACGATGATGCAGTTCTACACTGCAATCATCGAGTCCATCCTCACCTCCTCCATCACCGTGTGGTACGCTGGAGCCACTATCAGGGACAAACAGAGACTGCAGCGTGTTGTGCGCTCTGCTGAGAAGGTGATTGGCTGCAGACTCCCATCTTTGCAGGACCTGTACACCTCCAGGACATTGCGGCGTGCAGCTCAGTCACAGCTGACCCTTCTCACCCTGGACACAGTCTGTTTGACCTGCTCCCCTCAGGCAGGAGGCTCCGGTCCATTCGCACCAGAACCTCTCGCCATAAGAACAGTTTCTTCCCCTCTGCTGTTGGACACATGAACAATAACCATATGACTGTACCCACCACTAACACCTGACCCTACGCTGTGTTCACTGCATCATTTCATGTTTGGCACTGATCACCACCTGCACTCATATATATATCATGTATATATCTATCTACTTAGCACTTTTAATTCTTATTCTTATTTTTATTTTCATGTCTATTTAAGCGTAATTTATGACAGTATGTTTGCACTGAAGCACCGCAGCAATTTCCTAATGTTGTAAACCTGCTCAACATTTGGCAATAAAACCCTTTCTGATTCTGATTCTGATTCTTCTGATTCTGATACCATCTTGATTGGGTTTAGGTCAGGTGACTGTGGAAGCCAGCACTCCATTACTTACTCACATGACTAAAATGCGTCATCGTTTTCGAAAAGGCTCAGTTTTCTGCACTGCTGCAAAAACGGCATTTTCAAATGCATCCACTTTGGAGAGCGCTTTCAAAACGCTGCATTTTCCTAGAGCCAAAACACCATCTCGGTGTGGACGGGATGCCACAATGGAGAGAAAATGATGCGTTTTCAAACAAAAACGTATTAGTGTGGACATGGCCTGAGTACCGAACACCCAGGCAGGGGTTAGGGAGAGCATGATCTCCACTGAATAGCGGTAGGAGCTGATTCTGTTGGAGGTTTCTTCTTGTTGAAAGGAAGTTTTTCTTTCCCACTTTGGCCAAAGTGCTTGCTCATAGGGGGTCATAAGATCGTTGGCTTTTTCTCTGTCTGTATTATTGTAGGCTCTACTTTAAAATATAAAGCGGCCAGAGGTGACTCTTGTTGTGATTTGGCGCTGTTTAAATAAAACTGAATTGAATTATGTGGGAATCTTTAGCTCTGCTGAGAACACGTGCAGGCAGCTTCAGGTTGTTTTCTGAAAATCAGCAGGACAAGATCTCTACCTCTGCCCTTTACGCTGTCCAACCCCGGTGGTGTCATTGTCAAGTATGCCAATGACATTGGCTGGGTGGGTTATTGTACGGGTTAAAATAGCTCCTCCCTGAAACTAAGAATACACACTCAGGATGTGAGCCGACTATTCCAGAAACAGAAGCCCAGGAAAGCCCCCGGACCAGATGGCGTCTCACCCTCCTGCCTCAAAACCTGTGCTGAACAGCTGGCTCCCATCTTTACTCGCATCTTCAACAGATCCCTGGAGCTGTGTGAAGTTCCCTCCTGCTTCAAACGCTCCACCATCATCCCTGTTCCCAAGAAACCCACCATCACAGGACTGAATGACTACAGACCTGTCGCCTTGACGTCTGTGGTCATGAAATCCTTCGAACGACTGGTGTTAGCCCATCTGAAAGACATTACAGGCCACCTGCTGGACCCTCTGCAGTTTGCCTACCGGGCAAACAGGTCGGTGGATGATGCAGTGAACATGGGGCTGCATTACATCCTGCAACACCTTGACCGCCCGGAACTTATGCCAGGGTCCTGTTTGTGGACTTTAGTTCGGCTTTTAACACCATTGTGCCTGAACTTCTTTCCTCCAAACTCTCCCAGCTCAGCGTGTCACCAGCTACCTGTCAGTGGATCACCAGCTTCCTGACAGATAGAAAGCAACAAGTGAGGCTGGGGGAGATCACCTCTGAAACCCAGTCCCTCAGTATTGGTGCCCCTCAAGGATGTGTCCTCTCACCACTACTGTTCTCCCTCTACACTAACGACTGCACCTCCAAGAACTCGGCTGTCAAACTCCTAAAGTTTGCAGATGACACCACTGTCATTGGCCTCATTCAAGATGGTGATGAGTCTGCATACCGGCAGGAAGTTGAGCGGCTGGTACTCTGGTGCAGTCAGCACAATCTGGAGCTGAACACTCTTAAGACTGTAGAGATGACAGTGGACTTCAGGAGACATCCCTCAACTCTGCTCCCCTCACCATATCAGACAGCCCTGTGTCAACTGTGAAGACCTTCAAGTTCCTGGGTACCACCATCTCCCAGGACCTGAAGTGGGAGACCAACATCAACTCCATCCTCAAAAAGACCCAGCAGAGGATGTACTTCCTGAGACAACTGGGGAAGTACAGTCTTCCACAGGAGCTGCTGATCCAGTTCTACACTGCGGTCATTGAGTCTGTCCTGTGCTCCTCCATCACAGTCTGGTATGGAGCAGCCACTAAACAGGACAGGAGCAGACTGTAGTGGACTGTACGGGCAGCAGAAAGGATCATCGGCACCACCCTGCCCTCCATCCAGGATCTGTACCTCTCAAGAACCAGGAAACGGGCAGGGAAAATCATCACAGACCCCTCACACCCTGCACACAGACTTTTTGATCTGCTGCCCTCTGGCAGACGGTACAGAAGCCTGCAGACCAGGACCACCCGACACAGGAACAGTTTCTTTCCCCTCGCCATCTCCCTTCTTAACAGTTGACCTGCCACACTGCTCCCACTGCCAGACTGCAGCTGCACCTTATGTACATTTTGTAGTATTCATTCCACCTCATTCATTTCTGTATTTTATGTATATAAGTTTAGATTCGTTATTTATAGTTGGTTTACACAGCTTTGTGTATGTATGTGTAATGTGTATATATAGACACTTGTGTGTGTGTGTGTGTGTGTGAGATTTACATTGCTGTGCTTGAGAGCCACCATCTACTGGAACCAAATTCCCTGTATGTGTCTGCACATATACTTGGCCAATAAACACGATTCTGATTCTGATTCTGATTCTGAACCATGGCATGAGTCAAGGAGCCTGGATCCCTTCCAGTTAGTCCAGGCAGGCTTTAACCACAGCCCTTGGGATGCCGTCAGGACCGGCAGCTCTCCTGGGGGTTAAACGCACTCAGTCTCCTCCTGGCCTCATATTGCTGGAAGGCAGGTGGGGTACGGGGGTGTGGGGGAGGAGTGGCCTCAATTCAATTCAATTCAATTCTTTATTTATTTATTATTAGCTCCTCTGCCAGTTTGAGGCTGCTGTTGGAGGTTTTTGTCAGTGAGGAGGCCCTCTATCCTCCTCCTGTAGGCCTCCTTGGCCTGTTTGATGCCCCTCCCCACGTTGGCTCTGGCAGTGCTGTACAGAGAACTGTCCCTCAGCCTGAAGGCTGAGTTACGAGTTCTGATCAGAGCCTGGACTTCACACATCATCAGTTGGGAAAAACCCAGATGGTTTATGCCACTGTCATGTTGTCTACACAGCACTAAATAAAGAGTGGACTAAATAAAGAGGATGCTTTTTTTCCCCTTTCTCTTTCTAATTGGTGGAGAGTTCTCAATAAATTTGGAATGCTGAATTTGTTTCTATATTTTTGCAGATGAGGATTTCAATCAACCAGAACACAGCAGCTCTGACTTTGAGGAGTGTAAGTTAAACTAACAGCATTTCATATATGATGAATAAAATTTTAAAAAAAAAATTAATTTAATGCATCAAATGTTGTGTCAAGAGGTTTAGGATTTTAAAAAAATGGATGAAGCTTCTACTAATCCTGGATTTCCTGCTCATTCATCAGCCTGTTAGTTACAGGTCACAATCTTTATTAGATGAAATGGAAATAAGGGATTAAACGAAAGTGTACATTTTATTTTTTTTGTTTACTTTTTTTTTTGACTAAAGCTACTACAAAAAATGAATAATAACTGATAATTTTCTATTGAAAATGAACTTAGTTTTTCAATAATTGAACTAATTATACTTTTTTCAGTGTCTGAGCTGAGGGTCGTTCTGCTGGGGAACAGCTGGTCTAAGAGGAGCTCAGTGGGGAACTGCATACTGGGAGTGACTGTGTTCAGCTCTGAGGATAAAGCAGACCTCTGCCTGAGAGTCAAAAGAGAGCTGAAGGGGAAAGAAATCGATCTCATCAACACTCCAGATCTGCTGTCTCCTAAAATCTCCCCAGAAGATCTGAGGAAACAAGTTGAGAACTGTGTGAGACTCTCTGCTCCTGGACCTCATGTGTTTCTGCTGGTCCTCCAGCCTGCAGACTTCACTGAGGATCACAGACAGAGGCTACAAATGGTCCTTGAACTCTTCGGTGATCCATCATGTGATCGTTCACTGGTTCTGATAATGCCCAAAGACAAGAGTTCAAGTTCCACTGAAAAGTATCAGCAGCATCCACAGTTAGGAGAGATTATCAAGAAATGTAGAGAAAAATTGTTGTGGCAGAAGAACCTGGAACAAGAGCAGCTGTTAGCAGCCATAGATACAGTGGTGAAGAAGAGCATGGGAGAACATGTGAGCTGTAATGTTTTCAATAACAAAACATCTGTTTTGTCCAGTAATTACCCAAAAGAAAAAGTCTCTCCCAGCTTGGATCCTGTTAGGGGCGGTAAGTGCAGGAACAACATTTTTTTTTTTTTTGCATATAATGTGATGATCAGTTTTATGTTTAGTGTTTTCATCAGAGAATTACAAAACCTACAATCCTTCAATAAAAACAGATGTAGCACTTAAATATCCCTTAGCTCAGATTGAGAAGTTAGGATACAAAGTAAGATGGTTTAGACATGTAAAGAAGGGGGTAGTGGATATGCTGGACAAAAGATGATGAAGATGGAGCTGGCAGCAGAGGTGAAAAAGGAAGAGCACGGAAAAGATTATTGGATTCAGAGGATTTGTGTAACAGAAGAGGAGTGATAGAGTAATAGATGTTGTTGTGGTGACCCCTAATACGAACAGCCAAAAAACAAGCACAAACAAACAAAAGGACGTATCAGTGAAAAATCCAATTTATTATGAAAAACTATAATCATTAAGAATAAAATAAAATGTGAGATCAGTGAAGATGTTTTTATTTTAAGTGCAGTTATTTGCAGCTGAAAACTCGAAACCCCTATGATTCCAAAAACTGATCCCAGACTTGCAACCCTAACCCAATGACTCATAGTCATCCTTATGCTTACAACTGATGTTCAAAAAAAAAAAAAATAGTGCAAATAAAACTGCAGGGGGTGGGCCCACAGAGGTTCAGTCACATATGGTGCATTCTGGCTGAGCACAGCAAGGGCCCATGAGTAAAGGTCCATCCACCAGGTGCTGATTGATGAGCTGCTTCACAGGGGCTGGCTCAGGGAAAGGCCGTGGGTAGCCCTATACATATATCTGACATAGTTGTGTTTGGAGTTCTTCTTCTTAGGAATCATCCATTCGCTTCCGCTTATCCTTTTTCAGGGTTGCAGGGGGAGCTGGAGCCTATCCCAGCTGTCTTAGGGCGAGAGGCAGGGTACACCTTGGACAGGTCGCCAGTGTGTCGCAGGGCTAAAACATATACACAGACAACCAGTTGCACTCGCTCATTCACACCTATCGGCAATTTTAGAGTTTCCAATAACCTATCCCCACTAACTGCATGTTTCTTTGGACTCTGGGAGGAAGCCGGAGTACCCGGAGAGAAGTGAAAATATCTGCTTTTAAAATTTTTAAAAGTTAATACTGTAAAACCTTTTGTATTGCAGCACATAAACTCAGGATAATGCTGTTTGGAAAAAGTGATGACAAAAAATCAGCCCTGGAAAAAATCATCGTTGGGAAGAAAAGATCCATTGTGTCTAAAGTCCTTGGAGGAAAGCAATGTCGCGCTGCCTCTGGAGAGTGGAACGGGAAACCGTTGACAGTAGTAAAGACTCCCAACATCTTCAGTCTGCCTGTGGAAACATTGTTTAAAGAGATGAAGAGCTGTGTGAGTCTCTGTCCTCCTGGACCAAACGTTCTGCTGCTGTTAGTCAAACCTTCTGATTTCACTGAGAAGAACAGAAAAACTCTGAATTTGGTCCTGAGCTTGTTTGGTCAAGATGCTTTTAATCACTCCATCGTCATCCGAACGCATAACGAGGAAGGGAATAACTCAGTGGATAAACTCATTGAAGAATCCAAACAAAGGCAGCAGTTCATTAACTTTGACAGGAAAGACTCCTTCTCAGATTCCTCTGAGTTGATGGAAGAAATGAATAAGATGGTGACTAAAAACTGGGGAAAATATCTCATATTAAAAGAAGAAGCTAAACCCAATCTGAAGTCCAGTCTGAACCTGGTTCTGTGTGGGAGGAGAGGAGCAGGGAAGACGTCAGCAGCCAAGGCCATTTTAGGTCAGACTGAGCTTCATTCAGCCTCCAACTCATCAGAGTGTGTTAAACATCAGGGAGAGGTGTGTGGACGTTGGGTTTCCCTGGTGGAGCTGCCTGCCTTGTATGGAAAACCTCAGGAGGCAGTGATGGAGGAATCATTCAGGTGTATCTCCCTCTGTGATCCTGAGGGTGTCCATGCCTTCATCCTGGTCCTACCTGTGGCTCCCCTCACTGATGAAGACAAGGGAGAGTTAGAGACCATCCAGGATGCATTCGGCTCTCGAGTCAATGACTTCACCATGATTCTGTTCACTGTGGACTCAGATCCTACAGATACAGCTGTTGGTAACTTTGGAAAGGACAATGAAGACATCCAAGAGCTCTGTGAGAGCGCTGGAGGAAGATCTGTTGTTCTCAACACCAAGAACAAACAGCAGATCCCAGAGATGTTTGAGATTGTGGATAAAATTAGTCAGCCTACAGGACAACTGTGCTGTTATACAACTACAACATTTTTACACGCACAAATGGAGAAAGTCTTAAAACTTGTCACTGGTAAGCAGTTTAGATTGTGATATTTTCCAATGACCCAGAGTTTTAATCCAGTATACAAGTGTTAACTCTGATTGTTTTCATGTTTTAGGTGATGAAGGTGGAGAACAGGACTCAGACTGTCTCAGGATTGTGCTGATTGGGAAGACCGGCTGTGGAAAGAGCTCTACAGGAAACACCATTTTAGGAAGAGACGAGTTTACAGCTAAATCAAGTCAAATGTCGGTCACCAAATGTTGTAAGAAAGTAGAGGGTGAGGTGAACGGTCGTCCTGTTTTTGTAGTCGACACTCCTGGTCTGTTTGACACAAGTTTGTCACCAGAAGGGGTTCAAGAGGAGCTGGTTAATTGTGTCAGTCTCCTGGCTCCAGGACCACATGTCTTCCTGTTGGTGATTCATATCGGCAGATTCACAGCAGAGGAGAAGGAGACACTGAAACTCATCAAGCAATTCTTTGGGAAGAATTCTCAAAGTTCACCATCGTTCTTTTAACAGGAGGAGATACACTGGAGCATGACAGAGAGTCCATAGAGGACTACATCAAGAACAACTGTGATGATTCCTTTAAGAAGCTGATCTCTGACTGTGGAAATAGATACCATGTGTTCAATAACCGTGACAAACAAAACCATACACAAGTCATTGAGCTGATAGCAAAGATTGAAAGCATGATGAAGGTCAATGGAAGGCGCTGCTTTACCAACAAGATGCTGCAAGAGTCTGAAACTGCGATAAGGAAGGAGATGCAGAAGATTTTAAAGGAGAAGGAAGAAAAGATGCAGAAAGAAAAGGAAGAGATGGAAAGAAAATATAAAGAAGATATGGAGGCCATGAAGAAAAGAATCGATGAAGAAAGAGAAAAGGAGAGAATACAGAGAGAAAAAGAACTCGAAAAAATGAGAAATAAAATTAGAGAAGAAGAAGAGAAGAGAAAGCAGGAACAGGAAATCAGGGAAAATGAGAAAAGGGAAAAGGAAGCTGAAGAAGAAAGACGTCGACAAGAGTTTGAAAAAGAACTTGAAAAGCTGGACAAACAAATTCAGTCAGAAAAAGAGGCAAAAGAAAATGTGGACAGAAAACTGGAAGAAGCCAGAGAAGAGATGAGAAGAAAACAAGAGGAGTGGGAGAAAGAACAGAAAGAATGGTGGGACAAACAACGACAAGACGAAGACAAAAGACGAGAGGAAGAGAAAGAAAAAATGGAAAAACTACAGGAAGATTATAATGAAAAGCTGAAATGTGAAAAAATCAAAAAAGAAGACGATCAAAGAAGAAGAGAAGAGGAAATAAAAGGATTGGAGGAAATTCATAAGAAAACTCTGGATGATCTAAAGAAGAAACATGAAGAGGAAGCCAGAAAGAAAGCTGAAGAGTTCAACCAAGCCCAGAAGAAACACATGGATGATTTAGCAAAACAGAGGGAAGAACATAAGAAGGAAATGTACGACTTAGTGAGACGTGTGACCAAAAAGACTGAAAATTTGAATAGGATCAAGAAATTGATGCTAACACATGAAAAACAAATGAAGAATCGGACCGAGGAGGACATAGAAGACCTCCAGGAAAAACAAAAAGATCAACTAAATGAGTTGATGAAAAACATTTTGGGAGAAGAGCTCAGCAGCTCATCAGCCTGCAGCATTTTATGAAATGAAACGTCAGATGTTCTTCTCTTTCTGTCATTTAGATAAGAGAATCTTTAAAGTAGCACAGAAACTGATTAGTGATCATCAGTCTCAGCAATGTCATTATTAAACTACAGGTCATTACACCAACATTAAATATGCTTCTGACTGGTAAAACTAATTCATCTCATGTATAGTAATGAGCTGTTGTTACATGTTACATGCACTTCTGTGTTCCTGAGTTCTAACATAATTTTCCTTTTAGTTGTCTCTTCTTATAAGCCTAATTTTTGTGCATATTTTGAACCTATACTGTAAATGTATAAATGAACAAGTGCCATTTTTAAAATGTTTAATTATCAGTAAAAAATTAGTTGTAATAGAAATTCATTTTTTTCTGTAATGTCCAAATTTTTCTTTATTTCATGAAATGTCTCATGATTCTTTTTATTAATTACATAACTCAGAGTCCTCATTTTTTCAGATATAATTTTATGTATTATCTTTGTAAATGATGAATAAAGTTTTCTCTACTGTTACTATGATATAGTCAAACATCTTCATTCACCTCTGTGTTTATGTGCTTCTTGACATTACTGAACACACCATCAAATTAAACCTTTTAAATTACACATCCAATCTTTCATGTACTGACCAGCAGCCTCGCTGTGCATATATATATTTGTATAATGAATTCTGGTGTCGATGATCAGGAATGTGGTTGCCTCTCAGCAGGAATATTCTGAGGACCTGATCAAGGATGCTCAGTTCTATATCTTTTTATTTAGTTCAGTTCAATTTTCATTCTAACACAGCGGTGCTTAGTGGCTCAGTGACAAGTTGGAAAAGTGTTTATCCCTAAACCGCAACACTAAAGATTTAAAACTTAAACAAAAACACAATAATTACATACATAATTTAAAATGAATTACTAACAGCTCTAATTTTCTTTTAGCCAAACCCGAGTTAGTGCACTCACATATGACAAGTCTTTAGAGAGAACACCTGATATACTTTGCAGGACACAAATGCAGGAGTCACGCAGACGTGACTGAAAACATACTTATTTAATGTATTTAAGAGAATGCAAAAGGTCAAAAGTACAAGTGATTCACAATAAATAAGTAACCAACAAACCAATTCCAGGGAACAAACCAGAAAACATACAGAGGAGCTTCAACAAGGAGAAAATGGGACTATAAATACACCGAACTGGGCCTTGTGTCAGGATTATTGTTGTGTGACACAGTGTTTTAGTGTTTCATTGCATTTTGATATTCATTGTTTATGTTTTGGTTCATTTAGTCTTCTTTAGCTCCTAGGTTTCCTAGTTATAGTTCTTTGTTCATTTAGATTGATTGTGCGATTTTCCTCTGTGTTAAGTCTTCCTTGTTGCTTAGTGTCTCTTACCTATTTTTTCTCTGTATGGTTCATGTTGTCAAGTTCGGGTCATTTTTGTTCCCCATCAGGTTCCCTGTTTATTTTCAAAGTCTTGTTTCCATGATCTATGCGATTAGTTTACACTTCCTCTGTGGCGTCATTAGGTTCATTCTAGTCAGCTGTTTCCTCGTGTGTGTCCCCTTCCCCTGATCACCTCATGTGTATTTAAGACCTCCGTCTTCTTTTGTTCAGTGTCACATCATCTGTGTACCTTCCCTTATGTCACGTCAGGTTATGTACTTCAGGACTCTGTGCAGGTCAAGTTCGTGTTGCTTGATCATGTATATGGTTCATAGTTCTTGCACAAAGTCCTGTTCATAGTTGTCACAGTCTCCTTGTCATTGTCTTCCTAGTTGTCATAGTTAAGACTCAGTTTTCTCAGTTTAGGTTCCAGTTTAACTTTGCCTCTGTCCTTACTGCTTTGTTTTTGCCACCTAATAAAGGCTCATTTTTTGTTCAAGTTAGTTTTGGTCTACTCGCCTGTTTCTGCACCTGGGTCCTCATTGAACCACACACAGTCTGCCTCCACAGCCCGTGACACCTTGTACTACGAAGCAACATCTTTCCTGAAAAATATAAGGAGATTACACACATACATGAAGAATGAAAGTAACACAGCTCCAGCAGATATATCAGCAGTGTGAGAGGAAAAGCTTTGTACTAGAGATGGACAGATCAGATATTACGTATCGGTATCGGTCCGATACTGACCTAAATTACTGGATCGGATATCGGAGAAAAATAAAAAATGTAATCCGATCCATTAAATATCACGAAAGCACCTCGCAAAACTTGCAACACGCCGTAACTCACCTCAGAACGTTAGCACGTCGGAGCAGTATGCATCACGTGATAGAGCGGCTGTGGCATGCGGGACCTGTCGGTGGTCTGGATAGCATTTGGAGCTTCGCTAGCAACCCAGCATGCTTAATGATCAGCTGATCGTCTCTCTTGTTTGTTTTTGGCCCACTTTGCACCAGAAAGAGGAAACCAGCGGCTGAACAACAGCAGCACGTTTAAGCTTGATCAGCTGTTGTTAGAATTTATTTATTATTACTTTCTACTCGAGGATCTTTTTCTACGTAGCTGACGCTGGTAACTGTGCAGGGGCGGATCTAGCAAAGTTTAGCCAGGGGGGCCGATAGGGCATGAACAGGGAAAAGGGGGCACAAAGACATACTTTTCTTTCTTATTCTCATTTAAAATGTCGAGCTTTTAATAAATAATTATCTGACACCCAAAGTTTTAATTTGATGTAAAATGAATAGAAGTCAATTACTGTATATAGTAACTATTAAGTCTAATATACCCTAGTAAGCTATAGTACTTTTTCCTTTGGGAAGGTACCATCTGTGCAGTCTGCAATTTTGTTGAAGAAAGATGTTGAATCTATTTAATATTTCTTGAAAAATAATTGATTTCTGTGCATTTTTTTTCACACTGCATCAAATTAAGGTTGATTACGTCGATTAAGCATCATGAGGTGGAGCGTGAGGGGTGGTTCCCTATTTTTTATTTATTTATTTTTGTTGTTGCTGGGAGTTGGAACCCTATTAGTTAGGTTGCTTAATATTTACGCTAAGTACTCTTTAAAATACCAGAATAGGGAGGATGGTGTAGGTTTAAGTTTATTAGATTGATCAGTATTGCGGAAGGAAATTCTGCTTCCACAAACATAAATCAAAGGACATCATCTTCATCACAGGCACCAATTACCAGACATGTCAGCTTAATAAAGTTTATTCAAAGCTTTGGGGAGAACAGACACTTCTCAGAGGAAGATCATTTCTGCTTCTTCTACCTGTGACGTCGTTCTTTCAAAACCACAAAACCCTGTTTTGACTTCCTGCCAACAGTGAAGGAGGCTTGATGCTGGTGCATGCTCAGTAAGGCTGTTGTTTGCTTTCTCTTCTGTTTTTTTTTCTCCATACAGGTGACCCAGGTGTTTTGGGGTTTTTTTTCTTTCTTCCCCCCTTCTCACCGTCTCTTCTCCCCTCTGGTTTTCTTTCTCTCCCTCTCTTTCTTTCATTCTCTCTCCCTGTCCTATCCCCCAGTCATGTCTGTCCCGTTTGTAGCAACTGAAAATAAAATAAATTCATAATTATAATAAAGGTCAATCAAATGGACCAATATGGCAAGGCCATGATGATCCACTTGGTAAAATAAATCCACTTGGCATCTTTCTTGGCCTAAAGACAACAATTCTGATGCTAAAGATCCAAACGGGACAAAAAAAAAAAAAAGTAAGGCTGCTACCGTCTAAGAACAGATCTGAACTGGTTCTGTTTTTAATCTATTAATCAGGAGGGAAATTATAGAGTTAGGACAAATGCACCAAATGCAAAGTTTTGCTATGGAAACCTGGAAAACATTCTGTTTGTGTACATTACCGTGAATCAATGGTCACGAGACCTGGGTGATAAAAAACAAAATACCAATCAAACCAAAGGACTCCAAAACAACACAAACTACAAAACCAAATAAAAACTGAGTAATCTGAGCTCATGAGATCTTTATTTTCTGTTCTGAGACTGTGATGGGAGTAACAGTAATCACAGTGATTGTGGTGACAAATTTGTTTTTTGAATACTTGGTTTTCAAAATTCAATTTCTAATATTTCTTATGTTGTGTTTTCTTTGTTTTATGTTTTTTCTGTACTGTTCTTGAATGGCCTGACCCAGATTTAACAGAGAACAGCTGAAGCTGCATACCTGTGGTAAACAGGAAACTGTGGGTGGAAAGATTACTGTGAGAAAGATGCTGAAAAGGTGCCAGTTGCAGGGTATTCTGCCTGGCAGGAAACGAGACAGACTGTTTTCTGTCTTTGATGCTCCTGCAGTGTGATGTGCATCGCCTTTTCAAGATGAAGTCTGTTTTCTTTTCCTTTCAGTAACTAACACAAAGATAGCTTTCATTCTTTTAATGAATATTTATTATTTCTTCTCACTCAGAAAGATTTTCCATCACAACTGTGAGCTGAGCTCTCCAGAGGAGGTGGTGACTGTTAAGTGTGCATGTGTCAGTATTGGCAGGTTCGTTTTAGTTGTAAAATTTTGATAAATGTCAGTTGCATTATCTACAGATGAGGATTTACATGTGTTCAAACATTTGTGTATAACTGAATATTAATAGTTAACATTCCACCCTAACAGCAAGCTATCTGAAAAAACGTGCAAATACAAACTTGTAAAATTAACATTTTTTTGGTTCAGTACTTTACAGTCGAATATGTATTATTTAGAAAATGTTGATGTAAATTAGACATTGGTTTGTTTTTCTATTTACACTTTTTTGATTACAAGATTTCACCAAATTTTACTGTTAATTTCACAAACATTTTTTACAGTGTAAGTCAGGTAGGGAGAGATGAGGTGCCGGTGGACATGGGATAATTAAATGTCAGCGACTTGATGGATGGCTGAAATGCAGAGATGTGACATCCATCCATCTAAGAGTCTGTTGTGGTCAGTGCTATCCTCTATGCTGATGCATGCTGGGGCAGCAGGCTGAGGGGTCGCAGATGCTAACAGACTCAATAAACTGATCTAGAAGGCTAGTGATGTTGTGGGATGGAGCTGGACTC